TCTTTCTACATAAGCCACTCTCTGAGATACTGGTGATTGGGACTCCAAAATATCTCTCATGAGGGATGTAATTCAGCCCATAACATAAGGTACAAAGCTTTCCCCGCTCAAGGGTGAGGCAGGGGCCAGAGCAGTGGTGATTGCTCTATGCTTAGACCCATGGCCGGTGTGGCCCAGGGCCAGTGGGGCTCTCCGCACAGGCCACAGTGGCTGTCTGATAGGACCCACCTTTACTGCAGTGTGTGTCTTTCCCCTTCTGCTGGAGGCATGCCTGTGGCTGTTTGTGAGCTTCGTGTAGTGGGCTGGCTCTTCACTCCACATTCCAGCACTGTCTTTTATACCTGTTTCCTCCTTTTTTTTATCCACACCCCAATTCTTTTCTAAAGTGAGGAGTTATGGGTGTCCCTTTATTAGTCCCCAAGAGTGTCAGTTTGTAGTTTACTCTGTGCTTGTCCACCCCCAGGCTGCGGACTCCATGAGGAGGGCTCCCATTCTACCCTGTCTCACCTGGAGCTCTGCACACACCGTTTGCATGCAGGTCAGCAGAGCCTGGTGGTGCCGGTGGGCCACCTGGGTCCTCTGCCTACAGGGCAGCTGTGGAGGAGGGAGTGGACAAGTGCTGTCTGGGCAGGTCCTCACTGCAAAGCAGTCACCACCCATAATCTGGCCAGTTTTCAATGCCTGCCTTGGGAGCTCTAAGAGAAGGCATGGGAATTCTAGGCTCTTGTCCTTTGGTCCTGAAGCGGCCAGAAGCCAGTGATGTCCCTGTGGTGTTGGGGACCCTCATTCCTCCCTCCTCGCTTCTCCAGGAGAACCTTTCACACTCTGTAAAGACGCTCTCTGCTCCTGCCGCCTCCTTCCCAAGGAAGGCTGTGTGTGGCCTGGCAGGCTGGAGCCCAGAGTCTTGGGGTAGGTGACACCCATGGCGAGGAGCAGTCGCTGCAGGGGAAGGTACCATGGCCCGCCTCTTGCCCCCTCGCCTCCTGTTCCCTCGACAGGCCTCTGTGCAGGGGGCAGCAAACCTGCCATGCGTTCAGAAGCTGTGTGCAGTCAAGCCACGCACACCGGACAAAGGCGGGCCGGGTCTGTGCTTTCTCTGACCCCATGGCGGGCAGCAGGCAGCTGGAGCTTTCCTGGGCATCTGCCCCCTGCAGGTGAGGCGAGTGGGCGGCAGGCCTCTACTTGGTGGGAAAATCCCGGTCACAGTGCAGGCCTGGTCTGGTAGGAAGCCCTGCGTATTGAGAGTGATCTGGCCCTGCTGGGCAAAGCTGTGCAGGGCTACCATTGGCTTTTTATCTGTTCTTCCCGAGCAAGAACGTGGGGGAGAGAGGATGAGGTAAGAAACTGGGTGGGTTATCGCCAGGTGGGACTTGGAGAGGTGCTGTAGGAAGCTAGCATACATGAGATGCCTGCGCTGCAGGCCCTCGGGAGCCTTCTGCCCAGTGAAAGTTCAGGATTCGGGTTCTAAGCCGTGTGCCCTCTGCCCTTCCCAGAGGCCCCTGCAGGCTCTCATTCCTCCTAGCGAGCTTTCACGGGAGGTGTGGTTATAGCATGGCTGTAACCTTGATAGATGGGTGTAAACATTGTTTTATATTTGATCATAAAGTATTTGATTCATAAACATATATGTATTATTTATAAGTAGGTGCTAAGAAACCAAAAGCTTCAGGCTCCAGCACCCACCTTGTGAAACAAAACACTCCCAGTTTTCACGGTGCTTCTGTGGGCTGCTGTCTGGTGCCACCCTCCTTCCAATGGTATCTTGTCATTCCAACACCTCTGTAGCTTTACCATGTTTTAGCTTTTACTGGTCTACATACCAGTGTGTGTGTGTGTGTGTAACTACCTTGCTTTGAGCTTTATGAAAAGTGGACTTCCAGCCCTTTGACTGCTGGTGCCTTCCTGGACTCAGGGAAGAGGCTGGGTGGCATCCACAGGCTGCAACAGTGTCCAGGAGGCGGTCCGGGGGAGGCCGAGGAAGCTGGGTCACTGGAGTAGAGTCCACGGGGGCTGCCAGGCAAGATGAGGCCAGCCAGGGAATACGTGTTCCGGGCATCCGGCAGCAGGTGGACCACACTCTGGCTCCAGTGGCAGAGGGGGGAGCAGGGCGGCTGAGAGGCAGAGTGCTGAGTGTGGAGCTCAGAGAGAAGACTCAGGGAGCCTGCGTGGGTCAGGAGGGCTAACCACAAGCCTCTCGCGTACTGAGCTCCGGCCCTGCACCCCTGTGCAGGCAGACTGGCCACTCCTGGAGGCTGGGGCAGAGGTTCCAGCAGCAGCGTGAGCAATGCCACCTTACCTTCTGCCTTTATCATTCAGCAGCTATTTACTGAACACCTACTTTGTGCCAGGGATCCATATGCATCATGTCAGGCTGGGGATAAGATGGTGGATGTCAGACAGCACCTCTTCCAGCTGTTAAGGACTTCACAGTCTATTAGGGAGCAAGTTGTTCTGTTAGTCAGCTTTTGCTAAATTATTCTTAGTAACAAATGAGCCCCAAACATCAATGGGTTCCAACAGCAAGCATTAATTCCTTGTCATGCTGCACACTGGCTGTGGCTTAGCTTCAGCACTGGTCCAAATCCTCTGCCTTGTGGGTCCCAGGTGGAAGGAGCAGCCGTCATAGGCCCATGTCATTTTCATGGTAGAAGGAAGCACAAGAGAGGTGGTGACACCAAGCAGCGGTTCTTAAAGCGCCTGTCCAATCCTGGCTTGCCTTACTCCCCCCACTGGCCACCCGCTGGCCAGAGGGAGCAGTGTGGTGAGGCTTGACGTCACTGGGGAAGGAAAGTCTGCCTCCCCCTGGGGTGGTGCTGCGCTGCAAGACACAGCGTGATGGCCAAGTGTACGGCCCTCTTTGAGGGAGACCAGAGAATGTCTGGAGGAGCACCACAGTCCATCCGGACATAAACAGGCAGTGGCAGTAAGAGTGTGATGCGACCTTATCATAGTAACTTCTGACCTTGTAAAACATATCTTCATATAAAAATATTTGTTACCCTAAAATTACTTGCTTTAGGGATTCTGTTGAAAAAATAGTTTAAGACCCCCTAGTCTGAAACTGAGGACTGTTCCAGAGCACTAACCCAGGGTGAAGGAGGCGGCGGGGCTGGCCCCATAGGTCTTTGCTCCTGCCCTGGGCACAGGCATGTTTCTGTGCAATTTGAAAAGAAGGCTCTTATATGGTGACCCCCCGGTCACCTTCCAGTCCCTTGGCTTACCTTCTCTCTGTTCAGCTCGTCTGCAGGATGTCCCTAACCTTCGGGTCTCTGTGCTGCATCCCTACGTGCACATGTGTCCTGCCTCACCTCAGAGTCACGTCCGCATGGCTTTAGGAGGACGTGAGCTTTTCTGCTCCCTCATTGGGTCAGTGAGGTTGAGGGCCGGGCCATGGTTTCCTTTTAGACCACCTCACCACTCCACGGCCCCACTGGGCCCTTACTGGACACCTAACAAACAGGGACAAAACGAAGGTTCGCATCAAGAGGAAGCCAGGCCCCTGTGGGCTTGTCTGTTGCTCTCTGTCACAAGAATTGTCAGCGACTGTGTGGGTGACAGTTGGAGTCACTCAAGAGTGACTCCAGTGCGTTTAGAACCACGTTTAAAGTACTCTTTGCCTCGGTTTGTAATTGGTATGGGGGCTGAATATCTCATCCCCACAATGAGTCAGTATTCAGCTGTACTGCTGTGAGCTGCTTTGCAAATGCTAGTGGCCTTTGTCGCAGGTAGGCACTTGTGTTTTCCAAGAGCAAGACCTATATCTGCTCTTTTCTTTCTTTTAAAAGATTCCCCTTGGCACCTGATGAGAGCCTCATGCGCGGTGGGTGCTCCATAAATTTTACCTATCTCCTCTTTCTTTGAACCTCCACCAGATACTAACATGGTCCTGGGCCCATGGGCCTTGGCAGAAGATTCGTTACACACAGGCCTTGATCTTGAGACTTTCACAGGGAAAAAAGGAGTGAATCTCAGACAACTCCAACCTAGGCTGGCAGCAGCCCAGAGCTCCATACAGGATATCTGTTCTCTCAAGTCCGTCCACATGACAGGAGTGATGTGGGGCCGTTAAGTGCTTAGCCCTGGAGTCAGGCATGCTTTGAATCCACCCCTTGTGAGCACTGTGATCCTCCTCATGTTATTTAACGTCTCTGCGTCTCAATTTCTTGTTCCATAATGTGGGACTAACAACAATGCTGTCCAGTGCTCCGGTCTTTTGCACCTATAATTAGCATCCTTCTTTCCTGCTTGTGTTCTGAATCGTTTTGAGACTCCAGAGTAAAGAGCTGGCAGGAAGTGGCCCGAATGCTGCCACTGTTGCTGATAAAGGATTGACAAGAGGATGTATGGCTTTTCGGCTTCAATACTGAATTGCGAATTCGTTGGACGTTTTTATTAGTCCCAGGCTACTTGCATCACCGCAGGCATCCTCTGGGGGAAAGACTGTAAATGTAGGTTTTGGGTGATTGAAGCAAAAGCCTTCACTCTTCACTTGTTCCCGAGGCAAGAGGCTGGGCCTCTCACGTCCCATCCAAACTTACTAAACAGACTGTCCCTCTTGCTCTCAGGAAGAGCGTGTGAGCCGCTGAGGGCCTTGGAGTGCGCCCCTGGCAGCGCTTCCCGACGTGCGGGTAAGGCGGCGTGGAGAAGCAGCCTTCTGCTGAGAGGTGGGGGGTCTTTGTGGACCCTGTGGGACTCCAAGATGTTGCTTCAGACTAATACTTGTACTAACACTTACATGGAGGTTGCCGTCAGTTAGAGTAAGCTGTGATTCTGCAGTGTCTTTAGACATGAACCTATGGAAACCTTTGGAAGAACACAAACAGCCACTTCTTATCTAGGATACTGCGATCCAGACCTCTAACTGAGACGGACTCCCCTGTTCCCGTCTTTGTGCCCAGGAGCCTGACTGTGGCTTGGCATGGCACTGGCTGTTCCTGAGGGAGCCAGGCGGGGGTTTGCGCAGCTGCCTTCTGAAGGCCTGTTTGCTTTCTGTTTTGCAGTGCAAGTTGGAGTTCCATGCTTGTTCTACCGGCAAACGCCTCACCGTGCTCTGTGACGGGCCCTGTCCGTGTCTCCCGGAGCCTGAGCCCCCGAAACACAAAGCAGAAAAGAATGGTGAGTGGGGACGGCAGGGGACACCTAAAGGGGAGAGGGTGGGTGGCCAGCGTGGGCCAACATGGCCCGGCTCTGCCCCGGGTGCCTGGAACCTGGTATTCGACAGAGCTGTTCTAGCCCACGTGGGGAAACAGCTGGGCTTGGCGGGTACGACGGCTTGTTTAGGGCCGGGGAGCAGAACTGCCGTCAGCTGCCATGACAAAGACAGAAGAGCTGAGAGTCTTTGACAATAATTCTGTTAGAGCACGACGTGCACTAGGTTCCTGCAGAGGCCACACTGGCTCTGGTGGAAGAAGGGCAGGTTTTTCTGCATCTAAGACCAGGGCCTGCCTTAGGGTATATCTTAGTCTTTCTTGAACTCAAGTCCGTAAATCCTTTGAACCTCTCAAGGCCAAATTTCAAAACAGAGACTGCCGAGAAGTCACAACAGTGGAGAATATTTCCCCAGAAAGCATTCCTGTATGAATATATTCTGCTTGGAACACAGCCAGAGCCAGGAGACAGATGCAGGGAGATGAGGTCCCTGGGGCCGCTGTTCCCTTCCATGACGGAGGGGCAGGCCAGGCGGGACTGACTTGGATATTGTCAGGGCAGACACAGTGATGTGGTCTGACTGGTCTCAGTCCCTTTGGAGCCTTCGTTAGTGAGACCCAGGGTGGAAGGTTGCCTTTGCCCTCTGTGGAGCTGGGCTTTCTCAGCTGTCGTGGCTCACCCGTGGGAAGTGCTGTGCGTGTGTGTGTGCATGTGTGTGTGTGTGCGCGCGCACACGTGCGTGTGTGCACATCTTCTCACGTGTTCTCTACTGGAGGAGAATGAACAGCTACCTCTTCCTGAATTGGATTATCTTCCCGAGGGCACGTGGACGGAGCTGTTCACGTCTAAATGTGTTTATGGTGGTGACTGGGGGACTGTTGTGTTAAAAGGCTCTTTGGGAGCTTTAACTCAGAATGCGCAAGGACATTGTAATGCATAAGGCACTGTGGTCACAAATAATCTCCATAGATTTTTCTTGATCTTAAGGCATTTTGGTCTGACTCATTTATGTAACTACAGTAAAAAAAAAAGTTGATGAATATACCTAGGCCTCCTCCTCGTGTGGTCAGAAAACCTCAAGCTGTGGTGAGGTTAAGCAACCACAAAGTCTGGAAAATTAACTTCCAGAGATTTAAGATTCATTTTAGGAAGTTTCAATAGTTTTGTTATTCCAGGTGTATTGTTTAGTGTTTTTATTTGATCTTCTATTCTGTGGTGGAGAAACCAAACCAAGGAAGTCATCTCCACCGTTCTGCCTGCGGCATCTGGAAGTGGGGAGAATGCATCGCTCCTCAGGGGCCCCCAGATCTGCTAAGGTTTCCTCACTCACCATAATAGGTGATAGGCCAGTTTTCTGGGGGGGCTTGGTGGTCCTCCAAATGAAGGGCAACACTGCTCTGCGAGTCTCCTTGCTTTTAAAAGCAATGTAGCTACTTGCATATGCTCACCAGGACACAATTGAGCAAAGAGATGGTGCAGTCAAGGCCATATCTGGAACAGCATATTCGAGAGTGAATTCATTTAATCAAGTGTGACAAGCCCATTGTTAAGAAGTAAGGGTGTACTTCATTTGGAGGACTCCCAAGTCTTCCCAGAAAGGTCTGTTAGCTCTTTATGGAGAGTCAGGTCAGTGAGAACAAGAACATATTTAAAAGTGTTTCCATTTCAAAATGTGAATCCTGAAAGGAGGTTGTAGCAGCTGGGATGAAGGGGAGAGATCAGAGGTGAAATGAAAGGCAACTCATCCGTGGGGCGGAGGGAGGAGGAGGTATGGCAATGCAGTCCCCTGGCCTTACCTGCCACAGCTCCTTCCGGAAGCTGCAGGCCCTGCGAGTGACAGTCCGCATCTTCCTGAGACACATCGGGGCTCTGGACTGTGTCAGGAGCAGCCTTACGTCTGCACCCATTGCAGAAATGACATTGCACAGTCTCAAAAGGCAGGTGTGTCCAAAATGTGGCCTTAGTATTGTCGATGATGAAATTTTATTTTCAGACTGTGACTTTGAACCTGGGCTCCATGTGATAATAAAAACATTCATGTACTCACTTCCAGAGAAATTCTGTTAACTCAGGGTTGTACCTGAATTCAACCTAGTAGGGGTTGGGTGGTGGCTTACCAGCCCCGATCCTGGTGAGAAGTGGCTCCTGGACCTGTCTCTGTGTCTTGGCATCTTTACTTAGTTGACCAGCAATGTTCGTCCTCCATGCATCCAACCAAAGACACCAGAGATCCACCCGTGACCTCTGTTCACACGTCCCCTAGGTCATACCGAGTTCTCTTTCCCATACTTTCTACTCTTCTGGGCTTATTGATCCTCACACTGCCCCTCCCTGGCCCCCTTCAGGGCCACAGAAAACTTGAGGAGGCCCTTCTATGACCTTCTGGTGTCAAGAAAGACTGTGCTGAGGTCGCTATCTCAAGCCCTCTCTTCTTGGAGCCGCCTGGGAGCAATTTCTATTCTCTGCAGAGGATATTTTTATGAGGCTTGCCTCAGATTGGATTTCATATTGGTAGCAAAACCCAGGTCCCCTTTGCTGCTGGGGCCCTCCCGCTGTCTGGGGTTTCACAGGTGCCTCCTTCCCTGCCCAGGACCTAGAGCTGGATTGGAGACAGGGAGAAGCATGGTGAGTAGACCTTTTCCAAGGAACTCACCTGCCTCTCGCTGTTCTCCTTCCCAAAAAGGTGCGTCCTGTAGCTCCAACTTTGATCCTTCCTGGGGGAGTGTCGAAGGTTTGTGAGGGTGGGGGCTAGTTCATTGTCTTTTGAGTGTCAGGGATTTCTCTGCTTCTTCTAGCCCTGCCCCTTTGAGTTATAACATCCCGAGCTCTTGCAGATCAGAAGTCCATTGTATCAGCTTTAAGATTCAAGAGCATTTTTGGGAAGCCAATGCCAAGTGGTTGATTTTTGTTCTTTTTTTGTGTGTTTTGTGGGTTTTTTTTTCCTGGTCCCTGAAGACACTGAGGGTCCCTCAATATCGCTGACTATTTCCTCTCACACGTGTGAATTACCATGGCTGACCTTGGGCAGGTTACTTCATTGCTTTCTCTCTCTTTTATGTCTGTGAGGCCAGTCTAGCCTCAGAAAAAGAAAAAGAAAAAATATTAAGAAGAGGGAGATGAAAATGAAATCTAGGGTTTAGCCTGGGTTTCTGGGTTTCCCTGAGAGTCTTCCGGGAAAGACCCCCCCCCACTCTCTCAGCATTTCCCAGTACCCAACAGCCGGCCTGGTTAGGAAGTCACTTCTTACATCTAACATTAACTTTTTTCTGCTCCGGAGAATTGCTGCCACTTTTTCTTAAGTCCTCAGTCAAGAATATGAGGAATATTAGAGGTACTCATTTCTTGATTTCCTTACAGTGGTTGAAAATCTAAGGGGACAACAGGGGTCTCTTACAATTAGAGTCTTTAGATACATTGTTACACTAGCCAACACTTCTCTCTTGCCAGACACGAGCCTGTCCCAAGCCTGCCTCCCTCCCCTCTTTGGCAGAGAGAGGGCACACCCCCTTGGCCTGCCCTTGGCAGCTGTATTGTATCTGGAGGTGGGATTTGGAGCTCCCACATTGCTGAGGGGAAAACCTGTGGTGTAAGATATCAGATCAGGAAACGATCTCACTTATCTTCTTCCAAACTACGCTAGACGGAACTCTTGTGTCCCTTGACGTTGCCTTTCTCCATGAGGACCAGGGACGGCTAAATGCACAGGGCCTCAGACCTGCCCCAGACTGACCCCATTTCTATGCTTTACTACATTGCATTACATGTGTAGGAAGAGAATTTGCCGCCTCTGTTCAGGCCCTGCTTACCACAAGAGAGAACTGGAGGCCCGTAGAGAGAAGGAATCTTGCCTGAGGTCTGGCGTTGCGTTGGGTGGAATTCTGTTGGAGCCTGACCCTCGGGCTAGCATCTCTGCTCCCACTCTGTGTGCACCTCAGGCCACAGCGGGGTCCTCACCCTCAAGACGGTCTATAGCTGAGTTGGGTGGAAGTTAGATTTCATTTTCAGGGATCTAATGCCGCCTGCCTGCATCTCGAAGTGTCAGCCATGAGTTGTGTTCCCCACAACTAGCAATGTTTTTGAAGGCTTTCTACAGAATTTCTCCCAGTCCCTTCTCCTCTGTCTTTGGAGGAAGAAGTGGAGAGAACTTTCTCTAAGGGCAGCTCTTTGCTGGCTCTGTTGGCACATATTTGCTTTTGGAGAAGGAACGTGGGTCCAGCCAGCAAAGCTCAAATTCTGAAGAAGGCTGTGGAGGCGTGCTGGGTGGTAGGGGCGGTGTGGGACATGGCTGGTAAGGCCGGTTAGAAAAGAGGGCTGCACATCTCTCCAGCACTATGCTAGGAAGAAATAACTTCCCTCCAGCTGAGCTATTTGCAACACTAGAATAATAGTCTGCAATTATTTCCTTTCCTCAAACAGTGATCTCAACCTAAGGGCTAGATTCTGGGGAACAAAGTCCTGGGTTGACAGACAGTTGTCTAATTTCATTACTTATCATAAGTAGAGTTGGGGAAATGTGTTTCAAGGGGAACAGGAGGTGGTGCCAAAGAGATGGGATAAAGAGTTCTTCCTAGCTGCGATGTCTCAATGGAAAAATCCTGAAAGAATCCTGCTGCAGAGACTCCCAGCAAAATGGAGATTTATCATTGCATCCTGAAAAGACCATTTTTCTTTAATGTCTACTGTGTAACAGAGTGAAGGCCTCAGGCTTGCAAATTTGCAATTTAAAAGCAGTTTATATTAACCTTTCCATAGCCATTCAGCTTTATTCACTTATTATTCAGCACTACATTATGGCCAGAAATTAAACATGTAAAGAACATTTTATTTTAAGGCCTTATTATTCTAAAAGTCACAACCTCAAAAAAAAATTAAAAAAAAAAGAAAGCTTCAGAATTGGCAACTGCAAAGAAGAGAAACTTTCTCATCCAGGCTCTCAGGGTGACTGCTGACTTTGGCTTTGAACTCAG